CCCTTCACAAGAATGAGAAGTTCTCCAGATGGAGAAAGTTTGGCAGGTGCTCTGCCACTGGGCTACAGCAGCCATGTACAAGAGCATGAACAAGCAGCCCCATCTCCCCCTTCAGCCAGGTGCCCTAGTGAGTACTATCTGCAACGTTACTGTGCTGCCACAACCCTGTGCCCTCCACAGCCCACTGGGACCCACCCTTCTCTACCAAGCCCTCCTGGGTAGGAGCTGAGGAAATACATCTCATGCTCCATGATCTCCCCACATACAGTAGATGAGAGATCACCCACCAGGGGTGGATGGGAGCACTCGTACTGATGAGCAGATCTAAACGATGGTTTGTGTTTCTCTGCTGTGAACATATAAACTGTCCATACCTTCCTACTCACTCCTATGAAATGTAGCAACGGTGACCCTGAAACAGCAGCACCCCACACTGGGGTTCAAGTGCAGGTAAACACATTCCCTACAGCGGCCCTCGTGTATTTAGAACATACGAAAGCTCTCCACACTCCAGCTTCCCACCTCTCTCAGCTTCTTGGACTTGAGCTCTTTTCTATTCGGTTCAATTGAAGGACTCCCCACACAAACCCTGCATGGAAGTCTGGCAACATTCACTTTGGGATACGAAACAGGTGGCTCCTCTTTGTCGTGGGACTTCACTCAAAACCAAGGCTAGAATACTTTCAACTTTACCTTGTATATGCAACAATTAAAATCAGAATTCACAGATGACTTAAAGGAAAATATTTTCAGAAAGAAATTGAAAAAACAATGGAAGGATGCTTATAAACAAATAAAAGAAATTTTACTATCTTATCTGTATCTTGGATACTCGCAAAAAACCTGTGAATAAGAATACTTCAAAAACTCCATGGAAATAAAATTAAAAGAACTTATTTTAGGGAAAACTATTTTGAAATTCACACATAGGATTCTCAAAAAGCTCACTGGCAATGTGTATTAGGAAAAAACTGAACATAGATTCAGAAAACTTTTACACTATAATTCACTTATCTTCCCACATTTTAATTCCACTTTCCAAAAACTTTTTGATGTGTTCTCATGTTATTTCTCCAGAATTTATTGTTCACGCCCTGCATATGGAATTATACAAATTGAACAGTCATGGGGCAGATGAAGCAAGTGATGACTAAAGCTAGAGGAATGGCCAGAAGAGAGTTTGAACAACCACGTAAGTTAATGCCCACACCTGACACTTCTGAGCACGAAGTGAGCACTGTGAGTACAGCCAGACAACAGACATGAATCAGAACTACTATGTTTAGGGCCAGCACTGTGGCGCAGCAGGGTAACACCCTGGCCTGAAGTGCCAGCACCCCATATGGGTGCTGGTTCTAGTCCTGGCTGCTCCACTTTCAGTCCAGCTCTCTGCTATGGCCTAGGAAAGCAATAGAAGATGGCCCAAGTCCTTGAGCCCTGCACCCACATGGGAGACCTGGAAGAAGCTCCTGGCTCCTGAGCAATGCAGCTCCGGCCAGCCGTTGCAGCCAATTGGGGAGTGAACCAGCAGATGGAAGACCTCTCCCCCTCCCTCCCTCTCTCTCTCTCTGCCTCTCCCCTGTGTAACTCTTTCAAGTAAATAAATAAATCTTTTAAAAAAAAAGAACTACTATGTTTAAACTCTATAATAATAACTGTATATCCAGAACTTGCGATAGAAGTTCGCCAGGAAACTGATTTCCAGATTCAGTCAATATAGACTTGCTCCAAAGGAAGCGTTCATGAGGGTGAACTACGGACAGTGATTCATTTGTAATTATCAACTATCCATGTTATTTATGCAAAACAGGATTCTTTATGGACCATATTTGAAAGATATGACACTAGAAGTCATGGTATTAATAATAAAGGGCCATAAGAAGAAATGTCATGATGAATCATGTAAACAAATGTGGATGGATTAGTGAAATTTAAACAAAATTATGAAAATACCAACTAGTAAGAATGGTATATATGCCCAAACATGCTACCAGAAATAATTTTAAAAGGGAATTTGACTTGTTAAGAAAGGCAATTCTACTAGAATACTTGGGAAGGGTGAGGGATGAAGAAGGTAATGTCTTAACTGGTATGTCATTTTAGTTGGAGGTTATTATTTAGCCACATTCCATAAAGCTTTTGTTTTGTTTTAAATATTTATTTTATTTATTTGAAAGACAGAGTTACAGAGAAAGGTAGAGACAGAGAGAAAGTTCTTCCATCCACTGGTTCACTCCCTGGATGGCTGCAATGGTCGGAGAGCTGTGCTGATCTGAAGCCAGGAGCCAGGAGCTTCTTCCGGGTCTCCCACGTGGGTGCAAGGGCCCAAGGACTTGGGCCATCTTCTACTGCTTTCCTAGGCCACAGCAGGGGGCTAGATCGGATGTGGAGCAGCCAGGACTAGAACCGGCGCCCATATGGGATGCTGGCACTTCAGGCCTGGGAGTTAACCCACTGTGCCACAGCGCCAGCCTCTCCCATAAAGTTTTTTAAAGCATCTTTAAAATGCACGCACACATCTGTCAAAAAATAAACATTAAAAGCTAAGCTATACTCCAGTCAATGATAAATGTAAGTGGTGAAAGAATTCAAGATTAACTGCTTTCAAATAATTACTTTATATGCTCAATAATTAAAGTATCACTGGTTAACTATAAACCAGAGATGTGTAATGTGTAATAGCAATTAATTCTTACATGCTGCCCACATGAGCTTACCAATTCTCAGCCAGTAACTCTGAGGGATACGTGGTTACTATGCATTTTAACAGTGATGAAATTGAGATACAGCAATGCTGGCTAAGAAACTTGCCCATGTAGAGAGAGCCAGGAAGCAATCAAAGTTCAGGACTCAAATTCAGGCACTGGGCTTCCTCCAGGCTGAGCAGCCTTTCTGATTACCCTCTCTTGGCGTAGAAGGTGGAGTGGAGTGGAGGAGGGAAACAGGTGTCCCCTGAGGCCATAGGTGGCCACAGATTGGCGGTTTTCTGCAGTATCTCTGCCTGTGCTCCTCACACACGCAGGTGGATTAAGCAGCCTACTACAGGCCATGGAGATGGACCTCAGCCTCTACATCAGCACTTCCGTGAACAGCTACTTCTTTTTTTTTAGTGAGATGAGAACGCCCTATCTTTCCTACTTCTCTCAATCCCAACTGATTCTGCTAAGACCTTGGAAATGCATAATGGTATCTTCTGGAACCTTCTAAGGGAGATCGAAAATCTGCCAATATGACTTCCTGAATATCTCAAGCCCTTGCAGTGTCTAAATCTTTGCCTTCACCCCAGTTTGTGTCATTGTGCCTGGAGCAGACACGGCCCAAGCGTCTCTGCTGGCAAGGTCTAAGAATTTGCCCATAGGTAGCCGCACACGTTAGGTACTGACAATGAAAAAGAAAGAAAGGACGAATTTTGCTTTTATGCTGGCCATGCCATCGCATTCCAGACACAAGTGCTGGAAAGGCACTTTTAGATTTCACTGCTCAATAACGTCTTGTTCGTTAATATATCCAAATTCCTGGGCTTGGCTGTACTCGTGACGCCACACGTTGGGCGCATGTGACTTTTAAATATCACCAGTCCTCGGATAGAATTAGTAGATTTCTGCCAGCTGCCACGTTCTGACAGCAGTCGTTCTACAACTTAGCATGAAATATTAAAGAACACGCGCAGCATTTAAACGCGTCAAGTTTAACCGTGCACCTGGCTTTGCATAACTCTCTCCTTGGTTCACACGGAGTTGATGCATCGAGGTGCAAAGATGAAGTTTCCGTTTTGGAACGAAAAATGCTGTCTCTAAACGCAGGAAGACGCCTGGCATTTTACCTGCACGGTCCTACCCGTGGCTCGCAGCCTATGAAAGCTATTTCCGTGTGCCTTTTTCTCTTTTGCGCCTACGTCACCGACCTAAGGGGTTTTCATTATTTATTTCATTTTTAGAAGAAAGAGGTGTTCTCTCCCGAACACCGGCAGGACCAGTGAGGGCCGACGCGGCTCTGCAGCGGGGCAGCTGCGAGGGGGCAGTGCGACGGCACCGGGGCTAAGGAGGCAGAGGGTGGCACCCGTTCCACCCAAGAAATTTGGGAGAATGGGGCAAAGCAGCAGCCCAGCGTTCCAGGAGGGGCGTGGCCGCTCTCCTGGGGCCGTCCAATCGGATTCCTGCAGGGGAAGCTCTCCGGGGAAGATTGATGAGCGTTGCTAGGAGACAGGCGCGTGTCCCTCCCACCGGCTCCCGGCCGCTTCGGCCCCAGCCCGCCCAGGGGCTTGCAGCGTGCACTTGGGCTGCGCGCGTGGGGCAGCGCTGCCTGCCCTCTCCCGGTCTCCGCCTGCCCGCACGCCGTCCACGGTTCAGCGGGGCCACAGGCCGGTCCTCCGCAGGAGTGACTGTCAGGCCCCACTCACCGCAAGCAGAGCTTCAAAGTTGCAGCCACCACCCCTCCCGCCCCGCGCCCCTCCACCGAAACCCGCCGGCCTTTGCACGCACTGCCCCGGGATTTCAGTCAGTGGGAGGCAGAGAGCGCAGCCGGCAAAACGCTGGCGCTGCACAGAACCCTCCTCTCCGCCAGGTAGCCCGGCTCGCCAAGGACTGCGGATACACCCCTGCTCCAGGGGGGGAAGCGGGGGGCGGGGAGAGCAGGGAAGGAGAAAGCCGGGGAGCCGGAGGCCGTGGCGCGGGGTCCACGCCCCTGCCCTGGGTCTCAGGGCCAGGTGTCAGAGCGGCCGCGGGGACGGAAAGTTGCTCCCGCGCCTGGACGCGCGTTCGCCGGCACCAGTGAGGAGGAGAGGCGCCGTGCTCCAAGGGGCTCCCTTCCCTCGCCGGAGACCCGGGGTCCCCCGCCCCAGCCGCCTCCGTCTCCTCCCTCGCCCCCTCCCCTCCGACTCGCAGGCCTGGACGTTCTCCGCCGCCGGGGCCGGGCCGTGGTCCAGCGCGCAGCCCCGGGCGGCCAAGGCGACAGGAAGCCGCGCGCACAAGTTGGCCATTTCGGGGGCGACCCAAGTTCTCCCTCGCGGCTGGCAAGGACAAAGCCGGCGAGCTCCCCCTTTTGTGTCGGATGAAGAGCACCAGCCATGAGGCAGAGCCCGGGTGCCGGCTCCCCGCCGCCGCTGCCTCGGCGAGCAGCGCCAGCCCCCGCCCGGAGTTGCCGGTGTCAGGTAAGGGGCGCGGGGCAGGGCGCGGAGGCTCGGGCGCAGCCCGGCAAGTTGAGGCCGAGGCAGGAGCGGCCCCAAGGTCCTGCTGGGGGCGGGGTGCCTGGGGGCAGAGGCGAGGTGGGTGTGTGCGAGGGAGTTTGTGTGCGCACGCCAGGGGGCTCGCGAGGGCGTGGGCTCCGGGCACTGAGCTGCAGCCAGGGCGCAAGAGGTAGGGGGACCTGCTGTGCTCTCGGAACCCCCCGACAGCCCAGGCTCGGGAGAGCCAGCCACATTCCCACTGCCCCCGACTCAGGCTTCCTGTCTGTGGCGGGTGCCGGCGAGGCTTTGTGCACGGGAATCTGGGCGATGGCGGGCGGGTCCTGCGGGGCAGCGTGGATCCGCAGGTGACCGCGCGAGGTGGGCAGCGGTGGGCGCGCCGCGGGCCCCCAGCGCTGCCGGGACGCAGCACCTCGCGCGCTGGGGCTGGAGGTTTGCCCTCCTGCGAGCGCGCTGGAGAGGAGCCCTGGTCGCCGCCTTTGCGCCTTTTGGCTTGATTGAGGAATGAAAGACCCAGATTGGGAGCAGATCTCTCCACGGATCCTGCTCAATTTCCTTATCTGACAGTGAGATAACTCCAAGAGGGCGGGAGAGATTGGATACCCCAAAACAAAGTAGGCGATCTATCCAATAAGCTTGGTTCTTAAGAATTTGATTTAGATTCCTCTTCTGATTCTTCCATGGCTTACCACAAACGTGACAGATGCTCCAAGGGCTAACGCCTTCAGATAGATGTATGAAAGGGGAGGCTTTGTAAGTATTTTAGAGCACGGAAAATTTTGAAAAACTGCACTTTGAAAGATCTGTGGTGAAGTATACCCAAATGGCTTGCTTACAAAATATTTGCTGTTATCACAGTAGTAGATACTCTTGAAGCACAGAGAGATCATCACATGCATATTCAAAGTTCAGACTGTACGTTCAGTTTGCTGTCAGTGCAAGAATTCAGCAATAGTTCATACTTGGAGTTTCTTTGCTTGAATTCCTTTGTGTAACTGGTTCTTGGAATGGTTCAGTAGAACTGTATCCCGTTTCATTGTGGAAACAATGTAGGAAGGAACATTATTCATTTACCTAAATACAAGTCTACTTTGGTTTATGTGATCATAATTTTAAGGCTGCTACCTGAACTCCAGTTGTTTGCAAAAGTGTACTTAATAGTCATTATTCAAAACATCTAGATTGCCCTTGTACTAAATGCCTGTGGATAGCAGATCCTACACCAGTGATGTTCAGGATACTCTAATTATCACTTAGGATTCTATATATTGCTATGCCTTTTTTCTAAAAATAGAATCTGAATCAGTTTGGAAGCTATTGTACACCAGGTCTTAATAAAGTGGCATATCCCCTTTAATAATGGCAATGTCTTTTATTTACAAAGATGCACCTGCAGGTTTGAGCAGCTCACCCCCTTGGGATCTGACCACCCAGCAAGAGTACACAGATAGACACACCCTAAGGCTATCTTAATGTATGTTCAGAGTAACCCATGGGCTAAAGATGGAAAATGATGAGATCAAGTATTGAAACTTATACTTTCACAAATAAAACAATGCAAAATTGAGAATATACTCATTGTACTAAAACAAGGATATAGTATAAATATTTAGTATTGCTAAGTCCTCTAATCGCCACCCCCAAATCTTAGCATGAAACCTGTAGTTTTGTGAGCTGCACTCTTACCAATGAAATTTGAGTCCTAAATGTCAGAAAATTACACCAGCATACACACAAAAGCCTCTGTATTTTAACTGCATGGTATATTTCACACTTCAGAAGGACATGATCACCAGGACAAGAAAATGTATGGAAAACTCTATGAATAAATGATATTACATGTAAATAGAGTACACTCTGAACCACTCATTTATGTGTGACCTACTTTTCAAAAAGTTGTGTACATATAAAAAAGTGTAAATCAGATAACTTCATAATTATGAAATAGCAAAGTGAGAGTTCATCTCTGATTTTATGTCACTGAAATTAAAATAGGTACATTAAATGTGAAGAAAACATGAGTGGCATTTATTCTGATTTAAATTGAAATTAATATTTTTATTGAATAAAACTAGAGTAATTAACCAAAGGGCACCTGTCTCACTTCACTTTATGACAGGTGATTAGTTGAAACTACACAAATTGAAGGTGGTCTGAATTTCAAAGATTTCTAGCAATATTATATGACTTCCCTGGGTACATCCTCATCTTTGTCACAGGAAACCTATTTCTTTTCCATATTAAACCACCTTTTCTTTCTTGTCCACTCCTCTAACAGTGACCAACCACAAAATGAAGCATCGTCTTTTCCTATGGTCTTAGCAGCCTCCTGCCAAAATGTAGTCCATTGGCTTGGAGATGAAATAGTACCATTTGTTTCCCGGTACTCAACATCATCCCAAGACACCATTAAACAAAATAAGTGAAAATTAATACTCGATCTCTACTGTGAATCCAAGAAGGCAAGGTGCATTTGTGCACATGGGAATGTGGCCAGAATTCCATGGAGAGGCTTGTTTCTCCACGTGTGACTCCTAAAAACCAAGTGGGTGTTTACTCATAGTTGTTTCACTTTGCTGTTTCAAACGGAGTTTACCATATATTCTTGCCTCCTTTGAGACTCTGCTAAATGCATCCAATTTTGCATTACATGAATTTGTTGAAATTACTCCAAAGAAGTAGCATAAAATGAAACAAGACTGTCTATCAAAACTGAGCACATAGAATGAGTGCAATCATAGTAACCACTGAGACAGCTTAAACTATGAAGTCATCCTTGCCCTTCAACTTCAAATGTAGACTTGGTCCCCATAGCATACTGTTATTTTGTAGTACTTTGGTCCAGCCTGATTTTAAATAGATCATATAATGACTTTTCCCAGTCTTGGGAAAATCATTTCACAATGTAATGACGGTCCCTATTAAGAACTTTGTTAGGATATTCAGCCTAGTTTTTCCCCAATTCTATTTTATCTTGTTACTTACTCTCGGTCATGATCTCTCTGAGCTACTCCACTTCTTGCTGATTTAATTTTACTCAACTTTTAAATGCATGGCTTATAAACACAGAAGCTTTCCGGTTATTGGAAAGAACACGAGGGTGACAGTCCTGTATCCAGACATCTCTGCCATTTACATGTATGTACAAGACTATATAATCCTAACATGTTACTAGCTTAAGAGTGAGGAAATTGCCTTCTCTGACAATAATGACCTATGAGAATTTCGAGATGATCTCTCCTAACTAATGCTCAATGTAGATGCACATTTTTGAGACATTTTCTTTGCAAATTTGTTGTCAACAGAACCCTGTCAATGCCCAACCTACAAGGGAATTCTGTGACAGGGTCTGATGCTCACTGAGCCTCGGAAGCTATTGTCATGCAAATCCCACTATTGGAATAGCAATGATTTCCGTAATTAATAGGATGAGCTTGGAGTATAATGGTGTATGTAGTTCAGCTGTATGTGAGTACAATACAGTAGTTCTGTTAGAATCTGCAATAGTCCCTTTGTATTCAAACAATCTGAGAAAACCGGTGGAATTAAGGTGAAATTCTTCACTGTGCTGTATCATGAAAAGCAAGCTTGCATCATGCATGTATCCATGTGGAGTGTATATGGATTTATTTGGAGGTACCATATGTGAAGGTTATTTTAAAAATAGAAAAGCTTGAAATAACTGTAAGGGAAAAACAGATTTTCACTTTGTTCAATTAAAATCTGGCTCCAACACATCCACATGTAGGCTTAAGATTGTTAAGCAAATATCTTGGTAGACTCACCATCCCACTCAGTTGTTCCTCCAAATCCCAAGCTTTGCAATACAGGTTCTGCTAGACAGTAGAGGAGTAAATGATATAAATCAGGAATTAAGTTCCTAGGTTACACTTGGCAAGTCCAGGAAATACAGGACCGAGAGGAAGGCCAATCGGCAGCTAAGACGACGATGTAGCTCTGTCATCTTCACTCTTTGTTGAGCATTAGATGGCATGTAGAAGTAGTCAGGTAGTTAGGTTAAGGAAACAAGGAGAGAAATGTCATCCCAAACCTCAATCTCTTTTTGAGGGAATACAGTTGGACTGCATGGAATGAAAAACTTTTAAACCAGTTTTCTCCCTCCAAAGGCCCAGGGTGTTTCTGCAGGGCCATTCATCACATAGTGGTGAGTATCCTCAGAATGATTTTCCTTAGAAACAAAGGGGAAATCAATTTTCTTGGTATAAGAAAAGTAGGCCATTAATGTACTTGCAACTTTACCTTGGAACAGAGAGGCATTCTAAGAAATCAGAGTCAACACAGAATACAGTAACTTCTCATCAAATGAACAATCTTTTTACACAGAACTGGAAGTTGTATGCTGAAAGGAGGGAAATCAACTTGGAAATTTTAAGATACTAAGTATACCAGCATAGACTATAATACCATATAAAGAAAGCCCCATGGAGAGAATATCCACAGGAAGCCTACGGTAGCTATCACATTTAATTCCTGGTCAGGTTTTAGATATTATTTCCTGTGCACAACACACACACACACACACACATTAATTTAAGTTAGAAGGATATAGATATCCCCAGCAAATAGAAATTTTCAAAAACTTCATACTAGATAGCTTGAAAAAAATTAAAACCAATATTGGAAGAATGGGAATTATGAATATAACAATTTCCAGATAAGGGATTAATTTTACAATAGACATAGGATTTTAGTAAATCCTCTAATAAAGAGAATATGATCAGAAAGAAAAGGTAGCTAATAGGAAAACATTAAGTGTTTATTAAGCACCTATTATGAAAAGATTTAGGACACGCAGTAGAGACACACAAAATGTTACAAGACATTTGTTAATACAAAGTGCTTTAGGAGCTGCTGTTGTGGCAGAATGGATTAAGCCATTCATTGCCTGTAGTGCCAACATCCCAGATGGGCTCCAGTTCCAGTCCAGCCCTGGCCATTGTGGCCAT